CTTATGCCACTGAGCTATATCCCCAGCCCCTGAGTTATATCCTCAGCCCTAAAAGCAAAACTCTTTTCAAAAAAGTAAAAGCAACAAAAAAAGAAAGTAAAAAAAAAAAAAGGGAGCCAGGTGTTGTGGCGCACACTTGTAATCCCAGCACTCAGCAGGCTGAGGCAGAAGGATCACTGTGAGGCTGAGACCAGTCTGAGCTACAAAGTGAGCTCAAGGCCAGCCTGAACTGCATAGAGAGAGCCTGTCTCGCAAAGATAAATAAATAATTAAATACATATATATACGTACATACATACAAGAAAGAAATAACCATGGACAATACTGAGTGTGGTGGCACATACCTGTAATCCCAGCACTCAGGAAGGCTGAGGCAGAACCAGGAGAACTGCTACAAGTTCAAGGCCAGCCTGTGTTACATGAGACCCTGTCTCAAAAATTCAAAACAACCAAACCAAACTAAACCAAACAAACACACCCCTACACTGAAATTCTGTCTCACACCAGTGAGAATGGCAATCCCCAAGAATACAAAAAACAGTAAATGGTGAGGACTGGATGGGGGTGCACGTCTACACTGCTGCTGGAAATTTAAATTAGCACAGCCACCACGGAGATCAGTAGGGAGGTTCCTCAAAAAACTAAAAATAGAAGTATTATATGATCCATGGAGACCACTCCTTGGTATAAATCCAAAGGAATTAAAGTCAGCATGCCACTGGGAAACCTGCATACCCACATAATACACTTCATATTTGCTATATACAATAATCAAGACATGAGGCCAGGCGTGGCGGCACATGCCTGTAATCCCAGCACTCAGGAGGCTGAGGCAGGAGGATCCTGAGTTCCAGGCCAGCCCGGGGTACACAGTGAGTTCAAAGCTAGCCTGAACTACATAGTGAGACCTTGTCTCAAAAAAAAGTCAAGATATGGAACCAACCTAGATGCCTATCAACAGATGACTGAATAAAGAAAATGTGGTGTGTATACAATGGAGTATCACTATCAGCCATGAAAAAGGACACAATTCTGTCAGCGGGTGGATCTGACAACTGTGTTAAATGAAGTAAGCCACAGTCAGAAAGACAAACACCGAGTGGCCCCCAGTGTGTGTAAGCTATACACGATGACAAGCAGCAGAGAGCTGTCATCAGACAGGAGACCGGGAACGGGGGGGGGGGGGGGGGGGGAGTCGATGGGAGGGCAATGGGGAGAACACGGCCGAAGTACACCGTACACGGGGCCGCCCCGAATGTGACACTGTGGGGTGCGCCGCTGCAGACAGTAAAGAAGCAGAGTACTGACGGATGACACGTGCACGTCCAAACCCGCCAAAAATTAAAGCCCAATAATCACATAAGCAATACGCACTAAAAAATAGCGAAAAATAGAAGATTTTTTTAAAAATTAAAGACACAGAAATAACCTTTCGTCACAGATGCTAAATACACTTCCAAGTCTAGGAGAGTATCGAGACTACTGAAATGAAGCGCCAGCGTCAAGCAAGGAGCCAAAGGTGGAGCTGGAGCCGGCGCCCAGGCCGAGACTGGCCCTCCAACGCGCCCGGGGTCCCTTCGGGAGCGGGACACGTCTCTTTAGGGATGCACTTAATCGCTATTTCCGTGCTTTACAAACTGCTCGGACAGTCTCGGTAGGAAGATACACACTGACATAGAAAACTCAAAAGTGTAAAAACTAATCATCATAAAACCCCAGAATACCCAAGTAGGAACGGTTCCCAGGAATCACTTAGTCCGATCCCATCATCTGACTTACCAGAATAATGAGACATCGTGAAGTACTCTCCCACAGTTCTAGAAGTAGTGAGTGAAACTAGATTTTATTTTCACTACTTTCCTTTCCACGCTAAACATGATCGCTGCTCAGAAGTCATCACATTTTGACAATGTTAACTTATGCAACACAAGAATTTTTCACAAAAGCACAACTATAATCAGATCAGTTTTAATACCACTTATCTGAAAAACCAAACCCCAAGATCGTACATAATAGGCTCCATTAAGGTCACAATGTCACACAGTGTAACCCCAAGGATGTTTCCACCATGTAAGCATCATCCCAAAATAAAATTCTGCCCGGTAGCGCTTCCTGCTAGTTATTTACACGTGAATTTTATGGGCCCACAGGTATTAAGCAACCCCACTGCAATCCTGTTCCCAAAACACAGCACCGTCTCTGCTGTATTTTTAGCCCTTCCTAGGTAAGAACTGCTTTTACCTGCTGATCCAAAACAAAACGTTTTCTCAGGGCTCGTTAACAATAAATACCTCTGGAAACAATACTTAATTATGCCCGTGTGGACTCTAGGTTCATAAACCCGAAGCACACAGGCTTCAAACACTGGCACGCTTGTATACTGTGCTCCTGAAAGGATTCGTTTATGCTCCCCTAAATGGTCTTCTCTGGCAAATCTAATCCAAGTGATTTAAACAGGAAATTGCCACAACTGGAAACGTAACTTTAACTTTACTGTGCCCAAGTAACAGACACCTGGGGAGGAGCACTTGAAAACAAATTTGAATTTTAGTAATTTAGAAAACATTCTTCTCTTCTGCCTACAAGTGGTTCTCTCCTGTTTCGCACCCCCCATTCTCCTATGGATCCGAACTTCTTTCTAAGCCAGTTAAGGGAAAGACGATTAACGCTGACATTCGTCACTCTCGGGAGGGCAAATCAGGGTCTTAGTCTCATTTCATTTTAATCGAAAGGGTAATGATTTCCACCCCTTAAGAGGAGACGAGAAATTCGTCAGAGACGCCCTAATAATCGGCAGACGAGAACCACCCTGTGAGGAAATACAGAGCACTATTGCATTACAAACCCCTGAGTCATCGCCGTTCGCCCGGCCGGCCCGGGTGAGCGCAGCGCGAGGGACCTGCGCCCTGCGCTCGGCGTCTGTAACCACCGCGCCCGCAGCGACGCTGCCAGGTTAGGGTACGGCTAACCGAACCAGCAGCGGAACCCCTGCGCCAGGTTAGGGTACGGCTAACCGAACCAACAGCGGAACCCCCGCGCCAGGTTAGGGTACGGCTAACCGAACCAACAGCGGAACCCCTGCGCCAGGTTAGGGTACGGCTAACCCAACCAACAGCGGAACCCCTGCGCCAGGTTAGGGTACGGCTAACCGAAGGAACAGCGGAACCCCTGCGCCAGGTTAGGGTACGGCTAACCGAACCAACAGCGGAACCCCCGCGCACAGGAGCGGCGCGGCGAAGTCTTCAGCCTCGCGCCCACAGGAGTTTCGGCGCCTCGGCCGCGGCTCGGAGCACGGAAGCCCGGGGCCGAGCTCGGCCGGCAGGGCTCCTCCGGGCGACTCCCGGGCCCTCCTCGGGCCCGAGACCACCCTCTCGGCACCGGAGCGCGAGAGCCGGGCTGTGCAGCCGGGTCCGCGGAGGACGCGCC